TGTGTAAAGCGCTTTGGGTCCCTAGGCGGGACTAGTAAAAGCGCTATACAAATACAGGCCATTTACCATAAATGAACAAAGCACCAATTGTTTGCTCAGTTCATCTTTAAAAGTGATCAAATACTCCAAGTGTAGGAGATCACTCCCATTACCCCCTTCACTTGACTGATTGCTGTAAGTGTATAGAAGCTGCAGTGACACTTTATGCACATGATGAACGCAGCAGCACCCAGAGGACCGAGTGAGTAGAAGAATCACTGATGGGCTCATTTCTGTGTATTAGCGCTGGCCGGGTGCTTCACCGTGACGGTTAAGGTTGGACGGCTGATTCACGCGCACATTATTTCCAAGTGCTGTGATTTCTCAAAGGTTGAAGATATGCCTGTGCATTAAGGATGCATCCCCGATAAAATAAATATACCCTGGCTTCAGGCATCTGTCAATACTGAGAGCTGATCCAACACCAGCGTTAAATTAAAAAGCTACTTCCCTCCCAATAAGGACGAGGAAGGATAATAAGTTCACGCATCAGCAGCTAGGATGTCCTATACAGCTAAACCCCCGACACTCATCGCGTCTGTTTCCCAGTATCTGTGATGTTAGGCCCAGTGAAACCTGTAAACACAGTGAGAAGAGCCCTGAGGTCTGCAGGCTTCACAACAAAGGCCAGAATAAAGGTTTACTAAGGTTGCTGTTTGATGCTCTTTACTTCTGAGGGACTTCTGAGGCTTTGACATTCACCGTGGGTGTCTTACATCACATTAACCCTCCGCTGCAGCTGTCTGAACACAACGCCGACTTTACAATATTTGCCCAGCTTTTAACAGGAACTATACAACAGCAAAACCGCACAAGTCTTGTTTAGGGTTGTCTAATAACCGTTGCCATGTTTGTGAACCCCATCAGTGCACTTCATGTCTGAAGCTTTGATCGGTGAATTGCAGTGTGTGGACAGCTTGTCGAAACACACAGTGGTTGTTAGCCAGACAGAACGCAGAACAAAGCAAACACAGGAGAAGAATGGGCCGCATAAATAGATCATTTATTCAGGTACAACAAAGCCTGGAGTAGGTTGCTGTGAGTCACCGCAGTGCAACACCAGACAATAAAACAAACTCACCTGCAGTTGTCCACAATGTACTGCACAATCTTGTCCAGAACTTTCTCGAAGAGAGCCGTGCGGACCCAGATGTGTTTGATGGCCTGGGCGGAGAGGGGCTGAGGGGGCCGGCTGGTGGTGGAGGAGCCTTGTCTCCTCAGGGGTTCGTGGCCCACGCTCTGGGTTCTCCTGCACAACAAAGCACCAGTTACTGTAATTAACAAGCCTGCAGGAGTGCTCATGACACACAGGATTTCTAAGGCTGATGCTGACCTACACTTATATAAATTTCAACCTGCAAAAGAACCTAAACTTTAACCCTTTAAGACCTACCATAGAACCAAGTCCACCAGAGCTTATATTATAT